AAAAAAAAAAAAAAGAACCTGAAGCTCATTAAGGTTCACTGAAGGGGTTAATGTCACAGAACTAAGACAAATCCAGACCTTATTTTAAGGCCAGCAGTCTCCGGTTTTGGATGCAAGGCATTTAAGTCCAGTAGAGTTAAAATTGTTGAGTCTTAAATTCAAGGAGAACAGTGCTAAATAAAATAGATTTTTGTAGTCATCTCGGAAAATGGTAGGTAAAACTACAATAAGGAAAAAACTGCTGACAGAGATAAAGAGAAAGAACACAGAACATAAAAGTGGCAGAAAGGGGAGCAGGGAAGATGCAGCACTCAGAGACCTCAGTGGGGCAAGCTCTGCAGCGTAAGGCAGAGTTTAAAAGCGGAGGTGTTTTCTGAGGTGGGGAATAAAAATGCACGAGTATTCACATGCTTGAAGCAAAACAAATTTCCCCCCAAATGGCTGATTCATAGTGTTAAAGCCTACTGCACCCCATTCAAATCACCTTTCCACTATGAGTTTGGTCAGAATGGGCTCTTCATATTGAGTGGTATCTTTATCCTGCTGAAGGTTTTCAGGTCCATTTTGGGGTTCTGTTTCATGGAGTGGCACTTCCAATTGTGGGGCATCACCTAGGGATATTTCTTGCCGGGTGGTGCTGCCGTCTGGTTTAGAAATCTCTGGATAGTCAGAGAAAGATGAGGGAATGCGGCCAGACTTATCTCCTTTTTTATCTGCTTTTTTCTTTTCCTTCACCATGGTCTGTGGAAGACCCAAAATTTACTTTATAAATACCAAATGACTCCTTTGGCTGAGAGCTATTTGTTTCAAAGCACTGATGAATTTCATCTGAAAAATAAAAATTATGTCTCTAAATATCTGAGGTTTTTCACTTGTAGAGCTTTACAACACAATGTCATTATCAGTCTCCTCATTAAGCCTGAAAAACTAATTGTAAGTATCATCAGTTTATAAAAATAATAGAATTTCGAAACTACATTGGTTGTTTCCAAAAATTTTTAAATTGGAACCACTATCTAATGTTGTATCTTTTCGAATAAATAGTGTTGCTGTAAGAAGCGTAACCCTATACACAAAAAAGGGCTACTTAACCTTTAAGGCAGTGTTTTTCACCCTTTTTTATCTCACTGCACACTTGAACTTGTAGTTAAACTTCCACAGCACACTTAAATTATGTTGATCAAGAAAAAGAGTAAGGCCCAACAAGGTGGCTCATACATGTAATTCTAGCACTCTGGGATGCTGAGGCCAGTGGATTGCCTGAGGTCAGGAGACCAGCCTGAGCAAGAGTAAGAACACTGTTTCTAAATATAGCCATGAGTTGTGGCGGTTGCCTGTAGTCCCAGCTACCTGGGACAAGAGGATTACTTATGCCCAAGAGTTTTAGGTTCTGTGAGCTACAATGCCATGGCACTCTACTAAGGGCAACAAAGTGAGACTGTCTTAAAAAAAAAAAAAAAAAAAGAATATATTTACTGTGTTTTGATCTTCTTTCAAAAATAAATTAATGATCTTTAAAATTTTTCAAGCCACACCAGTTGAAAGTAACTACCTAAGGCCTCCCCTCTAAGGCCAATTCACACATTACAAGCCCCTCCCTTGATATATCAGCACTGCAAAGTGTTCAAGAGCTGGATTGATTAATCTCCTCTGTTTTATCATGCTGATAAAATGAGGGGATGCACAGAGAAATCCCTGATACAGGATACAGAGCAAAGTCAACAGATGGAGTGATTATTTTGTCCCTTTCCTGTTTTTGAACTTGAAAAATCACTGGCTGCCTACTCTCTGTAGCACTACTGTTGATTGCCTCTTCTGTGCCAGACAAGAAAGGACGGGGCAATACCTTGTCCAATGTCCCCCAGAGCTGAGGAGTAGAGGAGCCATAGTTTTCAAAGCCCTCCAAATGAGTCCTGGGGTGCAATGGGTGCCCCTTCCCCTCCTCTACCTGGATGGCAACTTCTGTGCACCCCATTTGCTAGCTCAACCCCACTTCTAGACTTCTGTCTTCCTTCAAAACCCCATTGCTCCTTCCAGGCCCTGATCACCGCCTCCCTGAAGCCATACCTGGGCAGTGTGACTCCATCTGCTCTCTCCTCACACAGGCCTTTTCTTTTTTTAAGAGTCTCACTTTGTCACCCTCAGTAGAGTGCCGTGACGTCACAGCTCACAGCAACCTCCAACTCTTGGGCTTAAGCGATTCTCTTGCCTCAGCCTCCTGAGTAACTGGGACTACAGGCACCCACCACAACGCCAGGCTATTTTTTTGTTGCAGCTTGGCTGTAGCTGGGTTTGAGTCCACCACCCTCGGTACATGGGGCCGGCACCCTACTCACTGACCCACAGGCGCCGCCCCACACAGGACTTTTCTATAAGCCTTTTAGTCCTCTATCAATGAAATAATGACTGCAAATAAAACCGATTTCATTTCTCTCTGCGTGTTTACTAATTTTTTTCCTGTTCTCCCTGGCTGTTTACAGTACAGAGTACTGGCTGGGCTCCCAGCACCGTCCTGCTCGGCCTCAGGTCCTCCCAAGCCACGTACCCAGGTCCCTAAGTCCAGTCAATTCAGCTCAACAAAAGAGGAGATGGTCTCCAGGGCTGCCGCTTACACACGGCGTGGCATGAGCACTCACCTGGTTGTGGAAGGCTGCGGCATGCACCAGGCCAGACCAGGCGCAGGTGGCAGCAGGACTGCACGCGTCCAGGCGTCCTGGGGTCCAGCCCCGTCTCCAGGCAACCGCGTCCTCCCCTCCACGCCCCTTGCTCTTAAAGGAACCGCCGCACCACCAACGTGAGGCCACAGAGTGGTCCTCAGCTCTGCTGCATCTACAGCAGCGGCGGCACTTGGCCTCCTAACTGCTTCTCCATAACACTGTAATTTATTCAAGTACCAGTTTTTTCTTTCTTTCTTTTTTTTTTTGAGACAGTCTATGTCACCCTCGGTAGAGTGCTGTAGCATCACAGTTCACAGCAACCTCAAACTCTTGCCTCAGCCTCCAAGCAACCTCAAATTCCCTTGCCTCAGCCTCCCAAGTAACTGGGACTATGGGCACCTGCCACAATGCCCGGCTGTTTTTTGGTTGTAGTTGTCATTGTTGTTCAGCAGGCCAGGCTAGATTCGAACCCGCCAGCTCCAGGATTATGTGGCTGGCACCCTCGCTGCTGAGCTACAGACATTCATCCAGGCATTAGTTTTTCATTGCTGTCATAAACAAAGTACCACAAAGCCAGTGGCTTGAAGCAACACAAATTTATTATCCTATGGTCTGTAAGTCAGTCTGGCAGAGATAATACGTTTCCTGCACTCCAGCTTCCAGAGGCCACCGCTTGTTCCTCGGTTCCTGGCGCATCCCTCTGTCTGCAAAACCAAGTGTCCTCTCTCTGGCCAGTGGAAAAAGGTCCTCCACTCTGAAGAACTCCTCCTGGACAATCCAGGACAGTCTCCCCATCCAATAACTTAACTAGATCACACCTGCAGAGATCCTTTTGCTATATAAGATGATGTAGTCAGAGGTCCTAGGGATTAAGCCACACCTGTCTCTGGGGGCCATTATCCTGCCTACAATTCCAGTGATTCTCACAAGACGCCACAGATGCACATCACCATAGTATTTGACACAATAGGTGGCAATAGTCACTGCTTTACTGTCTGGTTCCATCTAAGAAAGCTTTTCTCCCCAGAGGGCAGCAGGGAAGTTCACACTGGTCCTCGCTGTGCAACCTCCATTTGGACTCTACACAGGGCATCTTTATTTCCATTTTTGGTATAGTTCAAATAGGATAAGAATCTTATAATAAAACTATGTGCAAGATGGACAAGAGATTCTTACATCTTCAGTACCCACCCTTCAGGGTCAGTAACTAGAATGTCCTTCAGTTCATACCCGGAGGAAAACGGATGATAGCACTTGATTACAGAAAAAAACAAATCTTTTTTCCTGCTTAGAACAGCACTTTGACACCTTGGTTGCACAGAGAAACACTCAAAAATAGTGACCACCAATCCCATACAAAAATTTTCTTCAAGTTTGGTAGACAATGCCCCTTGTTTTTTGGATTATTCATTAAAAAAAATTTTATGTTCATTAGGGTTGAAACCTACTAACACAAAAGGACAATAATTTTACATTTATGAGATTAAACTAATAAGAATTTAATTATTAAGGGCTATAAGTTGCAGACTAAAAATACATTCAGCAAGAGCAGAGGCCTGGGTAACTTCCAAAGTGCTCGTATTTTTTATAAAACATGTTCTTGCCTATACACACACACACACACACGCACATGCAAATGCAGAACAAAATATGTTGCAAGCAATGCTCCATATGGTTTGAAAGGTTCTCAAGACCATTTATAAATGGAGCTGGTACATTATATTTTTAAGCAGCAGGTTAATTTTGAACCCCTCCCTCCCTACAAAAAGGTTTCTTAAGACCTTGTCTTTTAAAACAGAAAAATCTGCAATAAAATCTGTAATTTCATAGAGTGAGATGTCAGTTTTGAGAAATGACATCTAGATTGGCAATGTGTCTCATGGTTGGCCTTCCATGGGGACAGTTCCAGGGGTGGTCCATCTCACCCATGTGGGTGATGAGTTTCTTCATCTCGCTTGTGTTAAGAGCAGTTCCGATCATTACCTGAAAATGAGAAACAATTGAAAGTTTTACTGTTTTTGTTAGAAAAGCAAGTCTTCAAAAGCATTCCTCTCAGGCAACACCTGTGGCTCAAAGGGTAGGGCGCCAGCCCCATATGCCAGAGGTGGTGGGTTCAAACCCAGCCCCAGCCAAAAAAAAGAAACATTCCTCTCTAAAATAAGATTGATTACAACTCAAAAAGCACATTCCCCAAAAAATCTTCCCCTAAGATCCTTAACTTCTATCGAGTATCTCAGCACCCCACCCTTTTGCGAAATTGAGGCCTCCTTTGGCTCTTTCATAGTGGCACCATCCCTATACCAGATGCTGACTACACCTGTCCACCCCCAACCACTCTGAGCAGCTCCACCGTGACCTCTCTCCTAGGCAGCTACAACAGCCTCCTCCTGAACCTTCCTGCTCCCCCCACCTCTACCAGCAGCTCTTCACTCAGCAGCAAGGGATTATTTTTGAAAGTCTGTCAGGTCACATCACTCCTCTTCACAGCTCTCCCCTCTCACCTGAATAAAAGACTCACCCCCTTCTGTCACCTAATTTGGCCCTCACTGGCCTGCCAGCACCTCCAAGAACATATCCCTCACTACCACCCCTTCCCCTTGCACAAGTCCATCAAGCAAGCTCCTGCCTCTGAACCACAGCATTCCCGGGATCCTCTTTCTCTAGATGGGTGCAAGCATCACTGTGTGTCAATTCCCTTTCCTTGGGCTCTGGCCTGCTCTCCCCATAATAGCTCTCCTGCCTCTCTCCAGCCCTGGCCCTGGCCCTGTTGGCTTCACAACACAGATCCCTCTCGGGCAGGGAGAGGGAAAGCAGTAGACACCACAGTGAGCCAGAGAATCTGAGATCCTAAGAAACGAGGAGCCATGGAGAGAGGAAACAAATCTGAACTCTTCTGTCACCCTAGTTCTTCCTACAGTACAGAGTCTACCAATGCCAGTTGCAGTCTGAGGACAAGGTAAAGAGCAGGGCTTTGCCACCTTGGAGGAAGACAGACAGTAAACAAGTTAACAAAGAATCAAGACTAGTGGCACCCAGGAGGGCCCAGGAGAGGCTACTTTAGTCAGGTGTGAGGAGGGCCTGCCCACTGGAAAGCCAGGTTGCGTACACAGCTGAGAAGACAGCAAGCAGACAGCATGGAGGCAGGCAGGGGACCAGAGTGACTACAGAATTAGAAGGAGCACAGCACAGGAGACAGGGTGGGAAGGACAGGCAGAGAGTGACTGAGGAGGAAGAGGGAGAGCACAATAATGCGTCTGCCAGGACAGGAGAAAGGAGAAGGCTGTGGCTTTACAGGCCTTTGAGTCACAATGAAACCTAGAACTTTTAAATGCTTGGCTA